GCAATATCAACGGATAAAAAAGTTGGTGGATGACTCTTTCCTATCCACTTAAGATGACATAAGCTTTTACCATTCATGAATCCCTAAAAAGTAAAAATTAAAAATAAAACCAACCAAAACAATGATAGAAAGCCATGTCAAATTCACAATCAAACATCACATATCTGCAAGAGTGTCATGAGTAAAGTTCTTTCAGTGAGCCTGCTTGCCACTTCGTCATGAGAACATATCCCAATATTAATTTTTTCCCACCTTATTTATCTTGTAGTTATAAGTTAGATATCTCCAAGTTTTATTACTCTCTGAACTTGCTGCATGCGCCTGACATGACCTGCAGCTGTTAGAGTTGTTTGTTTATCTTGGAGCTAATTGTTCAAATATTACAAGATTAACTGTAATTTTAAGTAAACATGAGGTGTAAATGAGCTTGAGTTGATAATCGGTACAGTGAGGTGTGTATGAGCTTGAATTGAAGAATGTTGGATGCACATGCGTGACGCTTCGACATGTTGATGGTTTATTGATATGTTCAGTTCTTATGCTTGAAAAGTTCACTGGGTTATCTAACATTATTTTACCTTTTATTTTAATCTTTTAATCTTTGTTCTTAATTTCTTTCTGCTTCTATAACCACATATTATTCCATCCGGCTGTTATTGAATTTTAGTAGTTCGATAGTTGTTAATTAGAAACCATAGTGCTATTCTTTTCTTCCTTCCAGGTTAAGTGAAATCCAATGGGCTGCTTTTATTCTCCTATGTGCAGGGTGTACCACCGCACAACTTAATGCCTCGTAAGTATAATTTATCATCTGTTATCCTATGCTTTGTTATATTAATATCTTTGAGTTCCTAAGATACTCATGATGTATCGTGTTAGTATTCACTACCCTAGTGACAAAGACTCTCACACACCCTCAACTTTATAGCTTTGTCTTTGACCAACTCTTACATTCTCTATGTACTTTTAACTACTGAATATTTTAGAACATTATTTGCTTCGCAGTTCAGATCGTGTTCTTCAAACACCTTTTCAGGGGTGGATGATGGCCATTGTGAGTATAGATAACTGTTGTTCTTCAACTGAAGATTCTTTGCTGTAGTATTCTTGAAACTGATAGTTATGTTGATATCAATTATTTTTGTTTCAGATCATGGCACTTCTAAGTGGCTTTGCTGGGGTATATACAGAGGTATTCATTAAGCGATTGCATTCTTTCACAATACATGCACTTCTATCTTGGAGGACATAAACCACTGTACTTCTTCCCATGCATGTTTGGTATAGTTTATTTTAGAATTCTGTGTATTTGTCTGTCATCTGATTCCATGCTCCTTAGAACACGTAACTAACAACTGATTGCATACCCTAACATAATGATGAAGCAGTCCATCAGCATCACTTGTAGGTTTACTGCCCCATCAATCCATCTCCAGGACCATCCAACTCCCAAAATTAATTGTCTCCTTGAGTATAGGAGAGTTCTTTTACTCATGTGTTAGAGACATTTGTCGGGCTCGCTAACATCCGTCTGGCAATATAAAACATTTTTGGGAGAATCATGTCAAATAAAATACCACTGGTTTCCTTCCATATATACTTTTCTGTATGCTGAGAGACCGTGGTGCTCTCTTCAATCCTGAGGCTAGAACAAGATCACTTGATGAGTGGGTAGGGGGAATCCCCAAAGCATGTGACTTTTTTTATCCTGAGGCTAGAACAAGATCACTTGATGAGTGGGTAGGGGGAATCCCCAAAGCATGTGACTTTTTTTGTCGGGTTAATCTTTATACTGGTGGGACACAATTATCTGGAAGCACAACAGACAGTTTATTGTTCTATACCATAATAATTACGATGGATAATAGATATGGTGGTGTGATACTGCGTTTTTAATTTGTATTCCCTTTTCTATCACGATATACTCTTGGAATTCTGTCAATCTAATCACCTATTCTTGAATATTACTGAACTTCACCCATTTCAAAAATGCAGGCTATTATAAAAAAACGCCCTTCAAGAAATATTAATGTTCAAAACTTCTGGTTGTACATTTTTGGCATGATTTTCAATTTGGTTGCAATTTGCGTTCAGGATTATGATGCAGTTATGAATAAGTAAGCTTGAAGCATTCTTCAATCTTCACATCTTCCATTCCACATCTATTATCCTAAATTTAGCATTTATATTGAATTTTATTGAATATATCTTGTACTGCAGAGGTTTCTTCCATGGTTATTCTTTCATCACAGTTTGCATGATTCTAAATCATGCTCTCAGGTAAATATTTTATTATGTCTCTTTTGCAAAATTTCAAGTTTATCCAGTTCCTGAGTTCTTTGTATTTGCAGTGGAATTGCTGTATCGATGGTAATGAAATATGCTGATAACATTGTGAAGGTAAATATTACAACAACTTGCAGAGAATTATTTATGAAAAACAACATCAAGTAGAACCATCTTACCTTAGTGATTCACCAGCTTCAATATGTAAACTGAAAAGCTATCTAGCTGGCTTAAATCTTGAGATATTGCTGTATCGATGGTAATGAAATATGCCGATAACAATATTGGATGTGCGAGAACTTCAGGTTCCTGTTGTTGTATGATAGGCCAGTGCCCATTGGTGTAACCTAGTAGATAACTCTTTTTCCCCCTCCCTTTCACCAGAAAAGAAGCTGAACTGCCAAGAGATAACTGTTTAATAATTCAGGGTAGAATAGACAATACTTAATGTTCTAATTTTTCACTGTTGTAATGATTTTATTTCTTAACATAAATTTGTATGAAAAATATCACAAGGGAGACAAAGACTTAAAATTGCATATATAACTATAATGTTACTGTTAAATTGTCGTGGTATGAAAAATGTAACCATGTGGAAGCATAGAATATTAGAATGGCTACTAAATTGTCATGGTATGAAAAACGTAATCATGTAGAAGAATGGCTATGTAGTGCATTATTTTTCTTCTCATGCAAATACCAGTATACTAAGTTCGAAGACCTAGTAGTGGGAGCATGTCGACTGTCTTCTTTCTGTTGGCTTTTAATACTATCCATAGAGATTAAGATATTCAACATAAAATCAATGTTTTTTTTAAACCTCCTTTTGCCTTTAGAACCAATTAGGTAGTTGAGGAGGGTTTACTAGACAAATGTTTACTTTTACGTTCTTCCTTCAGTTTCTGCTATATCAAATTTCTCTCTGGTCCATGTACAGGTGTACTCAACTTCTGTGGCAATGCTCCTGACTGCAATTGCTTCAGTGTTCCTATTTGGCTTTCATCTCTCCCTTGCCTTCTTTCTGGGATCTACGTAAGTAGTAGCGACCATCACTGCTTCAGAAAGAGAACCCTAAGTTTATCTGATGATCTTTGCTTTCTTTTTTCAGGGTTGTCTCTGTCTCTGTATACCTCCACTCCATTGGGAAGCCACAAAAATGAGTTCCAAGAAACAAGAAAATGCTCCTTGACATAGTCAGCAGATCACTAAAGATTATCATGCCTAAGAATACGAAGTTTCAGTATCAGCTTGGTCTAACCTACAAGTTCACCTCGACACCAAGCGAGAAGTTCAAGAGGAATCAAAAGGTTTGATTAGTTTTTTATTCTTAGAGGAATTCTAACGACTGAGTGGCTTCAACGTGATCAAGTTGCTCGACCTGGAAAGGGGAAAAAAGTTCTTTTGTATCTTGTGTTGTTTTAGCACGTTCAATTCTTTTGCCCTGTATGTGTAAGCAGATTAAATTGTACTGTTTCCTGAAAGCACATTTTCAGATGGAAATCACAGCATGTTAGTTGGGTGTTAATACCGCGAATTCAGTTTATAGATTTCATTTTGGCTGTTTTATTATGCGTGCTGGCAAAGAGAATGAGAAGCACAAATACAATAACAATTGCCTGTGTAACTATTTTTCTACATACAACTTCTTCAGCCAAGCTTGTTGAACCGAAAGCCAATAATACATAAGCAATTCAAGCATTGTACTTATTTTTTTCGCTCGTACCAACGCCAACAGCTTATCTTTGTTTTGTTTTGCTGCATTTAGAGCTTCATGTAGTACAAATGAACTGTAATTAATTTGTTTGGCTGCATTTAGAGCTTCATGCAGTACAAAGTAATCCTCTCCATAAGGTGACAGGTAATGAACATAACATGTCAGGTTTGAATAATAACTAGAGAATTATTCTTCATCTTTTATTTTATAGAACCCCATAGGTATTCCTAATTTTTTCTGCCAAATTATTGGACTAGAAAAAAAATGCTTGAGTGGGTGCTAGTTGTCAAACATTTATAAATATGTAGGCCAACAATCAACAAGGTCCCATGGTCTAGCGGTTAGTACATTGGACTCTGAATCCAGTAACCCGAGTTCAAGTCTCGGTGGGACCTTTTTTTATTTATTTTTCTGAGAATTATACAGAAATTTACTGTGTTTCTAATGAAAATACACTTGTACACATATCAAATGTTATCCCCTACATTTACTTTTTTCGCACAACTATATTAATTCTAGAAATTCTACTGAATGGTGAATTGGATAAACACTTTGCTAATGAGACATACTTCATCATCAGCAACAAAATGATGAATTTTCCATAAGGAAAACTGCGACAACGCTTACTGGAGATTTCAATGAAATATTTTCAAGGTAGTTCCTGCCAAATTTGTATTTGTCACGTCAAAAGTCAGAAAATAATTTCACGCTTTTATCTATCATGGCTCTTGAATCATCCTGAGCAAGTACACCCTATTAACTTTAGTTCACTGGAAAATCTGCACCAACTTTTTCTTTTCTTTTTTTTTGCTGAGAATTATACAGAAATTTACTGTGGTTCTGATGAAATTACACTTGTACACATCAAATGTTACCAAAATGAAATCATCGATTATAACTTAACAAAAAAGTGTTTTTTTTCTCATATATAGAAAATCATTGTAAGATGAATTCACTGTCCCTCCAACCACAAGTTATATTTTAAAAAAAACGTTTGATATTATATGAGATTATACATGAGACTCCTTTTTCTCCTCCATTCTCTCTTTTGCTTGTAAGGAATTCTGGAAACATCTAGCTGATTTCGTGAAGGGTTGACAGGACTTGTCATCTTCACCCTTTTCGCTCCAATTGACAGCTCATCATACCAATGGGAGGCGAAACAGCCAATGACCAACTGCAGAGAGGAATATTTTCCAAGATTAGTGTCAGATACGTAGTGTGCCAATAGAGAAAGACAAATTGAATCACAATATACACAATAGGTTCGATGAGAAATCGAAAGCATATATGCTGAGAAATTAGAACGGAGAAAGACCTGAACGCGTGATGCTGTGATGAGAAGGCCAGCCAGCCGACCTCCAAAGACCTTGCCATTTATTCCAGCTAGCATCACACTGAGCGCAATCTCTCTGCATGCGCCCTTGCTCCTTGGCAATAACCCAGAGAGCAGCAGTATCTCGAAGCGGCCCTGTACATAAACCAGAAGAAGTATCACTAGCAACATTATGTAAGGAGAATATTAAATCTCGAAGCGGCCCTGTACATAAACCAGAAGAAGTATCACTAGCAACATTATGTAAGGAGAATATTAAATTTATTCTCTGCACATTATCATGAATAAATAGAGCAGCCAGTTCAAGGTTTGATACAGATGAGTTGCAGGAGGGGAAAAAATTACCTCGTAAGATACTGCTACTGAGCTTTCTGCCTGGTGAAGCACCGCCTGGGATACCACACCGTTCGCTGGAAGGACACATAGATGTCCTTTCTCACGAAACAAACCTAAAATGGACGATATGTCCTAAGAAGAAAGAAAAGGGAAAAAATTGAAATAAGTCCTTTGTCACTTACATGTACTTGTGCAACATGCACAGCATGAAAACAATGAAATATGTTTTCAAAGATGTCAATAGAATAATGTCTTAAAAATTGTTCCTGCATTAGAAAGTTCTACAAATTGTTTCCATGATTAAACTTCATGAAATCAAAATGGAGAAGGTATGCGTCCATTCAAACCAAAAAGGCTAGTGAATGTAGTGAAGTTCAATTCCTTCAGATGAGGTATCTCAAATTCCAGATAAGTGTATCCTATAAACAGTATTTCAGCTGTCCGCAACCAAGCCCATTCTAGTATCTCAAATTCCAGATAAGTGTATCCTATAAACAGTATTTCAGCTGTCCGCAACCAAGCCCATTCTATAGTAAAAAGCCCAGGTGGTGGTAATGATGATGCTGATGATGAATGCTTTATATTCTTCAAAAATCAGAGGTTGAGATCTAGCAATAAAATACTTTGGAAAACCATATAATGACCCAACCAAATTCAAATGGTTCTGAAAAAAATTGACTATCATATTTGTACAATTGTACCCACTACTTAGTATTCAATATTGAAGTGACATGTTAATCAGCAAATATGAAATACTTAACTTGTTAATTGACACAAAATTGATGGCTTATCAAAAACAATCATAGGGTACAGGGCTTAAGAGAAGTTATCAAGAGGATGTATATTCACGAAGATCTGTGGATAATTGAACTAAATTAAATATTTAATAAATGAGATCTAATTATTTTTCTTGATATATTCCCTTTACTAAACCAAGATTACAATAAAGCTAAAGCTTTAAAACTTCATTTAAAAAAAAACTTTTACTCTTTTGCATGTGCACATGCAGGAATCTAGTTATTAGGTAAGTGTAAGATCAAACATCTCATAGGAATGCTTACATCTCGTGCATTAGGACCATGCTCCTACATGGGTCCCACTAGTTCCCTCCCACAAGCATGTGCACTGACGATAATGATGCAAATCAATAGCTTTACTTATTTGATAAGTTTATAAGATAAGTTACCAATTATAATACAGATACAAAGAAGCTCAATAATGGGGAAAGATATATATAAGAAAGACAACAATATGAAAAGCGTTATACCTGCCCGGCTTTTATGTCAATAATATAGGGCATAAAAGTATTCTGTTTAGATCCTGCATACAAATTTCATCCTCATGATAAATCAAAGAGAAGAAAAATTAAAATTTCTTTAAGTGACTGATGTTCTAATAAAACAAAAGAAATCTAAGTGAAACAGAACTTTTTGACTATAGGCAGAAGAGCGCAAAAACCATTTAAATGTTTAACAAAAAGGGATTAGTTTTCCATCCTTATAAAAGTTCTCTAATATCTGCATCATTCCACAGGAGCCTTTCCCAATCAAAATAAGATTGTCTATGAAGCCACAATCAGTCAAGAAAGCTGCATAAATGAATTGACAGAATATTTATACCTTATTGTCAATGTTGCCAAATTTTATAATCTATTCAAGGGATAGGCCTGTGCATGAGGTTTCAACTCATGCAAGAAGGAGGAACCCTCCAAGTTCCTTTACTGTAGGAAAGAAGGATTAAAAATGATAAACTTTGCTACCATGAATCATATTCCTCTCTGTGAAACTTGCTGAAAATACCAGAAAACTACACTTCCATTAGGCAGTTGTATATAATCTAGATCCAAACTTCAAAATTTCTTTTCAGGTCATGTGCGTATGTCAAACCGCGGGACTAAGTCATGTACTGACCAAAGCTTTTCTAGAAATCATTTGATATCATATAGAATTGGACTATTACAACTCTACTAGTTATGAATGATTGTATCCCAAAAATCCAGTAAGGAAACAAAACAACCTTTCTCACAAAAAAAAGTATCTTAAAACCACAAAACAACAATCAAAAGAAATATACTAAAGAAATGGAAACTAGTAAGTAGTAACTTAAGAATCAAGATGATTACCCAAAGCAGCAATTGCAACAACCGGCGACACAATCCCCACAGTACCAGCACCATCCACAGACCCATCTGGCAATGGTGATGTAGTGCAAGCTGTCACTCCAACTGGCGCATACTTGAAGAGTTCACACTTCCTCGGCCTCCCCAGTTTTTTGAACTCTGACAAACTCACTGGATGCACCCCACCGCTGCCTCTAGTTACAGCAGCAGGGACTGGTGGGACAACATGACAGTAAACACAAGTGCCATCTGGCAAGACACTCATGCTCATTTCGAGACGATGAGGGGGTGAACTCTCCTGTGGAGCATTAGAAGTCTCAGCTCTTGCTTCCATTGGACAAAGAAATGGAGCAGAAAGAAGAAAATTGAGCAGAGATTTTTTTTTCCTTTATGGGAGTAAAGAATTGGATTGAGAGCATTGGCTCTGGTTTTGGGTTTAAAAGGAGAGAGGGAATGATAAATTTGGAAAATGTTTAAGCAAAATATTGCAGTTGAGAAAGAAACATTCAGTGAGGTAGAAGGTTCACGTACTTGATATCTAGAAAGATTCGGAAAAAGAAAAGATTCAAGCACTTGATTTAAAACATTGTACCCACGAAGTGTTGCGCGCAGCGGAAATTTCGGCAGCACTTCGACAGCACAACAAGAGAGTCAGATCGCAATAAGAATTCCCGTCTCACCAAGGAGACAAGAATCTGAAGCGGATATCTCAACCAAGTGAGAAATCGACTCTTCCTCTCATCAGTTCTAGGACTGACCTGTCGAGGGACCCTAAAAGCTATTACAAATCACACAAAAGCGATACAACCAATTTTTACGTGGTTCGGCAAATTGCCTACGTCCACGGGGCAAGGAGGGGGGAGATCTACTAATAGAGGGAGAGAATACAACTAGGGTTTACAATCACTCACAAACTAAACCCTCAAACAAACTCTCAGATCCCTCATAATATCTCTCAAAAAGGATGCACAAAATAAACCCTAAAGGAAAAGCTTCTTCTTTTCTTTTGCACCTTCTCTGTAGCCGCAACACAAACCTCCTGCAGTGATTTTTCCCGCAGCCAAACAAATCACCTCCTGTTTCTCTGCAGCAGCCGCAAAAGAGAGATACCGAAACTCCCTTGCACAAACCCTCCGCTCAAAAAACCCTTAAAAAAAAACTTTTGATATATATAGGTGCGAAACGGGTGGGCCGGCTTACATTACGCGGAAACGAAACCGCGGACTTGCTCACATATGGACTCACGTGGGTGTGGTCCCCACTCCCCACTCACAATTCTCCACCTCGGTGAAGTATTTCCAAAACTGAGCCGATACCAAAGCAACCAAATATCCCACTGGTTGTGTCCAATACGAACTCAATCCACAACAAGTCGAGAACCCAAACGAGAGTCCAAACAATCTCACCCCCATCAACTAATCCAAAACCGACTGCATCTGAAAGACTGCCTACGTATCCTCTTGCCCAAGGAATCAAGCCGAACGTAGTTCATCCAAATGGCCGCCAACGACCTCAACAATCACGAATGTGCAACAAGCTTCGACAATTATCAAACTTGTTGCTCGGAACAACCTTAGTGAGCATATCCGTCGGATTATCCTTCGTGTGGACCTTCATAATTTCCACATCTCCATCTTCAAGAACATCCCGAACGAAGTGATAACGAACGTCAATGTGCTTCGTCCTCGCATGAAAAACCTGATTCTTCGCCAAATAGATAGCACTCATGCTATCACAATGAATAGTGACGAACCTTTGTGATATACCAAGTTCCTCTAAAAGTCCTCGAAGCCAAATAGCCTTCTTCACAGCCTCCGTAACTGCCATATACTCTGCCTCCGTCGTAGACAAAGCCACCGTCGACTGTAAGGTGCATCTCCAACACACCGGCGCACGAGTCAAAGTAAACACATACCCTGTCGTAGACCGACGCTTATCCAAATCCCCGGCATAATCCGAATCAACGTAACCAGTACATAACTGTCCACCTGTAGTGTCCCGCTCATAAACCAAACCAATATTGAGCGTACCTCGAATGTACCTCAAAATCCATCTCACGGCGTCCCAATGACCCACTCCTGGATCATGCATGTATCTCGAAACCATGCTCACCGCCTGTGACAAATCCGGCCTCGTACATACCATCGCGTACATCAAACTCCCAACCGCGCTTGCATACGGAGTCTTCGACATCAACTCTCTATCTTCAACTGACTTCGGTGAAAGACCAGCTGAAAGCTTCAAATGGGCTCCCAATGGTACACTAACTGGCTTCGTATCCATGCTAACATGGAATCGCTGTAGAACCTTCTTCAAATAAGCCAAACAAATTCTGCTCTTCTTCTTGTCTCTGCCGATCTCCATTCCCAAAATGCGTTTCGCCTCGCCCAAGTCCTTCATCTCAAACTCATTTGAAAGCTGAACTTTGAACTCATCTATAGCCGACTTGGAAGTAGAGGCAACCAACATGTCATCGACATAAAGTAACAAATAGATGTACGCACCTCCTTTCAACTTGCGAAAATATACGTAAGGATCAAACTGGCTCCGAGTGTACGAATGACCAAGCATAAAACCATCGAATCGCCTATACCACTGTCGAGGAGACTGCTTCAAACCGTATAGCAATTTCAACGGAGTGCCTTCAATGCCCTCCTTCTTCGTGTATACCCACTTGCAACCAATTGCCTTCCGCCCCTTTGGAAGCTCAACAAGCTCCCATGTATCGTTCTTATGAAGAGATTCCATCTCCTCCTGCATAGCCACCTGCCACGAATCAGCCTCCGAACTCTGCTCGGCCTCTCTGAATGTAGTAGGCACTAACTCATCGATACTCTCCACCGGAAGTGCATACGCAACTGTGTCGGCATACCGTGCTGGCATCTGTATGTTTCTCCTCTGTCTCCTAGCCGCAATAGAATCCTGAACCTGAGCCGTCGGTTCTTGATCCTGCATATTTGTACTCGTATCCTCCGTGTCATCATCGTGCTCGCCTGACGTCACCTCAGTCGGCACTTGCATGGATACTGTACCATCTGGACAATGTGGAGCTGCATCGATCTCCACCACCTGCGATATCTCCTCCGTCGGATCGCTCTCCACCTGATGAGAGCTGGGAAGCTTCAAGATAGAAGCCTTATCGAATGTGACGTCCCTACTCAGCACAATCTTCTTATCCACTGGATCCCAAAGCTTGTATCCCTTGACACCACGCTTGAATCCTACAAATATGGCCTTCCTAGCTCGAGGTTCCAATTTATCAGTTTTAACATGATAATATGCAGGGCACCCAAATACCTTGAGCTGATCATAATCGTGTGCTGGCTTTCCCGACCACATTTCCATAGGGGTTTTCCCCTCAATCGCAGATGAAGGCAGCCTATTAATGAGGTGGCTCGTATATGTAAGTGCCTCAGCCCAAAAGATCTTTTCCAAACCACTCTGCGACAATAAGCATCGGATCTTCTCCAGTAAAGACCGATTTAATCTCTCTGCCACCCCATTTTGCTGCGGTGTATGACTAACTGTGAAGTGTCTCTCTATGCCCTCGTCTCGACATAGCTGCTGAAAGGGGTCAGAAGTATACTCACCACCGTTGTCGGATCGCAACGTCTTGATCTTTCTCCCAGTTTGTAGTTCCAATCTCTTCTTCCACTCCACAAACAAATCTAGGACTTCACTCTTTTTCGTCATGGTGTACACCCAACAACGCCTAGAATAGTCATCTACAAAAGTGACGAACCAATGTCGACCACCAAGTGATGCAGTCTTGGTAGGACCCCAAACGTCTGTGTGCACGTAATCAAGGATGCCCCTCGTCTGATGAATGGCAGTCCCGAACTTCACCTTCGTCTTCTTGCCAAGAACACAGTGCTCACAGAACTCAATCTTCCCACTCTTGGCTCCCTTCAATAGCCCCTGCTTGCACAATGCCTGCAGTGACTTTTCACCTGTGTGCCCCAATCTATAGTGCCAAAGTCTGCTCATGTCCGCTTCTGAAATAGCCGAAGCAACCTGGCCAATCTCGGTGCTTCCCTTCAGATAATACAAATTCCGATTGCGGACTCCCCTCATCACCACCAATGATCCCTTAGTAACCTTCGCTACAGCGTTTTCGAAAGTCACCTTGAATCCCTTCGCCTCCAAAGCTCCAACTGAGATAAGATTTTTCTTCAGTTGAGGAACAAAACTCACCTCTTTTAACTCACGGACTACTCCATCGTGCATCCTAATCCGTACGGTACCTATCCCACAAACGCCACAGGATTGATCATTTCCCATGACAACAACGCCCCCGTCGACTTTCTCAAAAGATGCAAACCAGTCTCGCCTAGGGGTCACATGAAAGGTAGCGCCGGAATCAAGCATCCAATCTGATGCATCCACATGGTTCACCTCCGGAGTAATCAGTAGAGAAAAGCACGAATCATCGGAATCATCGCCTTTCGCAATGTTCACCTCATTGGCCTTCGGGCCCTTTTTCTTGCCATTCTCTTTCTCCTTGAGCTTCGGGCAGTCTCTCTTCCAATGTCCCTGCTCCTTGCAGAATGCACATTGGTTCTTTGTTAATTGGTGGCGGCCTCTAGACTTTGACCTCCCTCTGTTACCACCTTTCGGATATGGGCTTCTACCTCTTGTCGACAAGGCCTCTCCTGAAGTACTAGCGCGGGAAGTCTCCTTATCCTTCCTCCTCAAATCGTAGTTCGTCAAAGCGTTAGTCACTTCACTATAGCTGATAGAAGATCTCCCGTTCAACAAAGTGAGCACGAAGGTATCATACTCCTCATCCGGTAAGGAGCCCAACAAAATAATCGCCTTGTACTCATCCGATATCTTCTCATCAACATTCGCCAAGTCCGACAACAACTTCGTATAGTTGTTCACATGAGCCGCAAGCGAGGTGCCTCTGGACATCTGGAATCTGAATAACCTACGCAGCAAGTGCAATCGGTTCTCAACACTCTTCGTAAGGTACTTATTGTTGAGAATTTCCCACATCTTCATCGCAGACGTCACCCCAATCACATCATACTTCAGCTCCTGTTCCAAACAGGACCTGATCACCCCACAAGCGTTCCTATTCATTTTCTCCCATACCGCCTCTTCATATTTAGGTGGCCTCTCGTGGACCATGATGGTCTCTTCCAAATTCTGAGCATTTAACGCATCCTGTACGTCGCTCATCCACAAACCAAAGTTGATTTTTCCGTCATATTTCACCACACTAATTTTGGTGTTTTGAAAACCAACTTGTATTGTACCCGCCATCGATTTGCTGCTTTCACCTTCTTCTCCCATTGCGAACTAACTCCAAATTGTAGAGAAAGAACAAATTTGATAGAATTAGGAACCACCCAACTGAACCCTAGATCGGATTCCAAATAGATCTCCTATCCACACGAGGAAAGCGAAATCTCCAACGGCAACTCCTAATGCTATCTCCACCGAAGCCGAGAACTCCAAGAACTAAGCTTCACACAAGAATCTTCCTCCACCAAAAAACCCTAGATCTGAAATCTGGGCTCTGATACCACTTGTTGCGCGCAGCGGAAATTTCGGCAGCACTTCGGCAGCACAACAAGAGAGTCAGGTCGCAATAAGAATTCTTGTTTCTCAAAGGGAACAAGAATCTGAAGCCTATATCCTATCAAAGTAGGATATTAGCTCTTCCTCTCGTCAGCTCTAGGACTGCGCGTCGAGGGACCCTAAAAGCTATTACAAATCACACAAAAGCAGTACAACCAATTTTAACGTGGTTCGGCAAATTGCCTACGTCCACGGGGCAAGGAGGGGGGAGATCTACTAATAGAGGGAGAGAATACAAATAGGGTTTACACAAGAATCTCACAAATAAAACCCTCACACAAAACTCTCCCTACAAAAGATGCTCAGAACCCTCTTGACGGCTGCTGAAAACTCCTCAAGCTTCTGCTTTTTCTTTTCCTCCGCAGACGCAATTGATTTTGTCTGCAGCCGCAAAACTTTGCATCAAACTCCTTCGCACCTCCTTTTGCACAAAAGAAAACCTAATAAACAATTGTTTATATAGGTAACAGAGAGAAAACGCGTGAGAGTTTGAAACCGACTCAAAATCCGAACAAACAATTCCCCTGCATGTTATTCGTGGGCCTGGGCCTTATCAGGTCCGGTTCACAATTCTCCACCTCGGTGAAGTTTTTCCAAAACTGAGCCGACACCAAAGCAATCAAATGTCTCACTTGTTGTGTCATATACTATATATATATAATTATATATATATATATATATATATACACTGAAGCTTTTGCAGAAGTCAGCCCCTTTGTAGAATTGCATGTGGTTTTTGTAGTATATTAGTTTCTTTTACAATTTTCATGGATTCGGTGAGTGACAACAGACCTTGATTTTTTTTTGTTTTGCTTACATCCTGCACTCAAATAAGTTTTCAGGGTTCAGATTAAAAATATGAAATTATTTTCCATGCTATTATACATGAGGAATCTGCAAAATGGAAAGAACAATTTGTGCTTATTTGATTTTTAAAAAAATTCACTTCATTGTTCATGTTGTATATGACAATGTATATAGTTACGTGTTTGCCGGTGTCCATCACAAGGTCATAAGTTACACACTAGAAAATGATAGTGTCCTGAAACTTCTTTTCACTTTTGTGAAAATTGTTCTTGACTGTTTATTCACATTGCATACAACCCTCTAAAACTACGAAAACTAAAGAATCACTGACAGTTAGTCCAAGAGTGCAAAAGTAGGCAAATATTTTTCCTAAAACTACGAAAACTAAAGAATCACTGACAGTTAGTCCAAGAGTGCAAAAGTAGGCAAATATTTTTCATCCTATTTTTGGTTTGCAGAAAATTTATTCTCCTTAATCAGAAAGAAACTTCTAGAGCAATCTCACCAACAACATTTCATACATATCAATGAAGTCCAAAAGAACGTATTTCTGGAGTACTCACCTAGTCAAATAGAAGAAATCTCACACCCTATCATAAAAGATTATACTTCTCCAGCTTCATGTGTCCATGACTGGAGGTTTATTGTATTTATCATTTTAATTAAATATATATTTGGCAAATACAAAAAGGGTTCATGCGCATACATAGCATACATACCTGGTAGTTATAGGTGAAAATCACATTTCTTCTCTTGTTACCCACCATGTTGTCTATGTTGATGCATTGCAAGACTGCAAGCAAAGGGCTTCACTATTAGCTAAGATAATATCAACATGCTCACAGTACAATTTACTATTCACCAGAAAGCATAACAAAACAAGAAAGCAACTCCCAGTTTAGTGTTATCCTCTGTTTCTTTTCTTTTTTTTTCTTTTCACAATGCAAATCTTGATTAAATATAAATTACAATGCCCAATCTCATTTGAAGTTCAAATTTTTTTATGGGAGATAATATGAAAATTGATACTTTGTACTACTTAAACTTTGGACAGTATCAAATGTCATAAGAATGAACTCGGACATTATGATGTAACAAAAAAAAAATTTTCACACACGAAAAACTCATGTACAGAGAATTTACAAATTGCATTGAAAGATGCCTTTACTATCCCTCTAACAATTGATTATATTAAAGATCTACTACTATATGTGATCATACACGAGCTCTTGTTTCTTTCTTCCTACTTTCTCCTTTACTCCTGAGGCACTCAAGGGAAAATCTAGCTTGTTCCTTGAATGGTTGACCACACTTATTAGCTTCAAAATTTTTGCTCCTATCAATCTTTTTAATGGCTTATCAATCTTTTTAACTCTTTGAATATTACCTAAACAAGCTCTAAGAATGATAGAAACAATGGCAATATCAGAAACTCTCTTTTATGAAAAAACAGATCGAAAAACTAAAAGTTTAGAGAGTTAATTTGCACAATATGTGAATCTTACAAGTGCAAAACTTGGTATTTATTTTCTGATGTTTAAACCTATTATAATTTGCACAATATGTGAATCTTACAAGTGCAAAACTTGGTATTTATTTTCTGATGTTTAAACCTATTAATAACCTCTGAAATGATATAATTTTAACCCCAATTAACGTCCACAAAACGGCTATAAACAGTTACTTATTCAAAACCTAAAATCTGAAAAAACTGCATCTGTAGTCGACTACAAGTCATAGTAGTCGACTACACTGAGTCTAAACAGACTCTGTGAAGTCAGAAAATTGCTTAGCAGTCGACTACAATGCATGATAGTCGACTACACTGTAAACTCACAGATTCTGGAATTTTCTTTTCAGTATTTTGGCTGTAACTTTCTCATCCAACATCGGAATGAGATCATTTAAGATTTGCTAGAAAGCTGTTGAAGAGACCTACAACTTTGGTCTTTTATTATTAATTTTCATCTTCTTAATTCGTCTAAGTTTTTTCGGATTCAAATTGCTATAGGGTATAAATAAAATGTTTTAAGACTCACTCAATATCTATAAACTCTAATGGTTAATATAGAAGATTTCTATTGTTAACTAACAAACTAAGCATGTGTTAGTGTGTTAGTGTGTTCTAACACTATGTGTGTGATCAAGGCTTGTACAAATTTCTAAGCAAAGAAAATGTAAAATTACATTTTGACAGTAAAGTATATCTTCTTATTTGCTTCATTTTGCCTTGAACTCATCTATGTCTTGAGTATCTCTTTGAATATAATTATTGATATAGCTCTGATACTAGGGGTGCCAAACGGTTCGGATATATCCGACCGGATCCGCATCCGTATCCGAATGGATGCGGATATGGTAGGCTAATTTTGAAACCGGACGGATACGGTAACAGATACAGATATGGTTTCGGATTTTTTTTCGGATACATATTCGGTAACGGATATGAGGGTTGCGAATACGGATATCCACAATGTAATAGTGATTCGGGTAATCGGGTCCCCATCTTATAGTTATTAACCCGCTAACCCAAAACCAAAACTAAAAAGAAAAAACACTAGGCCCTCACCCTCAGCCCTCACTCTCCTCAAGCCGCCTCCACTCTCGAATCGCTCCACACCTCCACGATTCTCCAGCGACGGCGGCGGGATTTTCCGGCGATCTCACAGCCGGCGATCTCACAGCCGGCGATCTCACAGTCGTGCTCAATCTTCTCCTCTACCTTCTCTCCAGCGAAGAGTCGCCACTCGCCACTCGCCTCCTCTACCTTTTCGTGTAAATTGGGTAACCATTTTTAGCTGCACCTAACTCTCAAATCATGTTACTAAAATTTCATGGTTGTATTCTAGTTGGGTATTTGGAAACATCAAGATCAAGGAATGATATCGGGTGACGTTATTTTTCGTACTCTTCTGCAAATTATAAAATTCCAAATGGGCCATTTAACAAAAATCAACCGTCAATTTAATCACAAGTCGTCGTCGGCTGGATGTTTCATGAAGATTGACAAAGATATTTGTACACCATTACTAGTTAGTCATTGTTTTTTGTCTATCCGACTTTCATCCATTTCTTGTTTTTAAAGCCAATTTAAGCCCTTGTTGACAGCGATTCCTGCTCCCTGGGGCTTTCTACGCAAAAAATCTGAATTTCTCATGCAAAATAAATATTAATTGTGTATCAAATAACAATAAATAGTTATGATTGAGAAATGGGAGAAAATAAACCCTGTATTGTAATAAGTTGTAGCAGCAGTTATGTTACACAAGTTTGTTTTGGGCTATCAGTGCTTTTAGACTTTTGCAAGGATCCATTGCAATTAACTATTTTTAGCTGCCAGAAATTAACCCTAACTTCCCTATAATTAGTAGCTTAGAATATATAAAGCTCAGATTTACTGTCGACAATCACCAATGTGATTTTTGACACTGGAACAACTTCTTGATTTTTTAGTTTTCAATTGATGGTTTTGTATAAAGATTATATGTCTAATAGATTTATGTCGAATATCCGTTTATATCCGTGATCATATCCGATCCGATTCTCAAATATCCGAACCGTATCCGTTTCCGATAAATGCGGATATGGTTAAGGTTTTTTCTTACCGAGGGTGATCCGTATCCGTATCCGTATCCGTTTATAAAAAGCGGATATGGATATGGTAAACGTCATATCCGAACCGTATCCGCTCTGATAACACCCCTATCTGATACTGCAAAACAAATGTTAGCACATAATACACAACATATAATATTCGTTATCATCAAAACAAACTAATCTTGGGGTCAAGATTCCTAACAGGCTAACACTCTTCACATCCTCGTTACCTGTCTTTCTTCCTCTCACACTTATTTCCTTTTGATTCTGCAGTGCTAATGACAAATGTGTCTAGCTCAAGTAGCTCGGTGAACAAATCCAGCTGGAGACTAAAGTGAGAGCATTTAAGAATTGCTAAATAGTTATATACATGATATGGCTTATGCAAGCTATAAATTTCTCGTCTTCTATCTGTATGGCAGATCAGTTGTTACATTGGCATTAACGTTGCTTACAAGTTCACAGTCAATACTTATTGTGTGGTCCAAGAGAGCTGGAAAGTATGAATACAGTGTGACAACGGCTAACTTTTCGGTAAGGGAGAAATGTCAATCGGTCTTCTTATGGTTCTGTAGTTCTTAGTTGCCTGATTGTTCCAAACTGCAAAAACTGTTTGCTTTCAGAACAATCATGGCTATGGTACATTATATAAATCAATCTAAAACTTTAATTGTTTAACTTAAAGGCCTATATGTGAATTTTCCTCATTTTTTTCATATTAGGTGGAGGCCTTAAAATGTGCGCTATCACTTGCAGCCCTTAGCAGAATATGGAAAAGAGAAGGGGTCACAGAAGATAACAGGTGAGCTATTCACATATTATATTCTTTTTTCTGAGGATGTGTGATCTTTAGAGGTGAAACTTGACCATCTGTATATGCATAAAGAAAGACATTTTGATGGATGTTTAACATCTTGTAGCTTTAAGTGATGTATTTGCCATTTTTTCTTCTGAGCTCCATGCCATCATATCCTCATAATCTACTTTTGAGGATTTGCCATGTGGCCTTACTGGTGCTATGTTTCCTAGTTGAAGATTCAGACTGACAATGATCAGACTTTTTTTTAAGGCTTTAACAAGAGATTCTCATTGGTGTAGTATATCCAACATTATTTATTTTCAGGTTAACGACATCATTCGATGAAGTTAGTGTCTATCCTATTCCTGCACTGCTTTACCTAGTCAAGAACTTGCTGCAGGTATATTCTATTATAATTACTTTTCCATGATATGAATTAGAAACTAATGCCATGAAATCCATGATCCAGTTACACTTTTTTGTTTCCAGTATTACATCTTTGCATATGTGGATGCCCCTGCTTATCAGATACTGAAGAACCTTAACATTATCAGCACTGGTGTGCTATATCGTATCATTCTAAAGAGGAAGTAAGATTTCTTCCATTTAAAGGAAACTTTTGTTTTCTTTGACGTCAATATTGTAGTTCTCTATATCCTTAAGACATACTATAACCTTAAATGCTCACTAGATATAGCTCAAGTGCACAAATTATAAATTGTATGCGCCTTCAGTACTACACAATTGCATGCTGTTGTTTGTGTTACCTTGTCCCTTAGAACTTTGTTTAGATAGTTGTGACTTACTCTTCTAAATCACCTAAACTACTGCCATAATCGCTAACAAGCTTGTTAGTAAATATTATAATTTTTGGGAAATGTAGTTCATGAAGAGTAAAACTCCTATCCACTTAAGTGGATAAGAGACCTTGTCCACCAAACTTTTTCTCCACTCATATTGTCTCAAGATTTGTGCCATCAAAGATTCAAAAGATGCACAAATCTTAAAAGATTCTTCATATCTATCACGGATCCCAATGCAATATCAACGGATAAAAAAGTTGGTGGATGACTCTTTCCTATCCACTTAAGTTGACATAAGCTTTTACCGTTCATGAATCCCTAAAAAGTAAAAATAAAAAATAAAACTAACCAAAAACAATGATAGAAAGCCATGTCAAATTCACAATCAAACATCACATATCTACAAGAGTGTCATGAGTAAAGTTCTTTCAGTGAGCCTGCTTGCCACTTCGTCAGTGAGCCTGACATGACCTACAGCTGTTAGAGTTGTTTGTTTACCTTGGAGCTAATTGTTCAAATATTACAAGATTAACTGTAATTTTAAGTAAACATGAGGTGTAAATGAGCTTGAGTTGATAATCGGTACAGTGAGGTGTGTACGAGCTTGAATTGAAGAATGTTGGATGCACATGCATGATGCGTCGACATGTTGATGGTTTATTGATATGTTCAGTTCTTATGCTTGAAAAGTTCACTGGGTTATCTAACATTATTTTACCTTTTATTTTAATCTTTTAATCTTTGTTCTTAATTTCTTTCTGCTTCTATAACCAAATATTATTCCATCCGGCTGTTATTGAATTTTAGTAGTTCGATAGTTGTTAATTAGAAACCATAATGCTATTCTTTTCTTCCTTCCAGGTTAAGTGAAATCCAATGGGCTGCTTTTATTCTCCTATGTGCAGGGTGTACCACCGCACAACTTAATGCCTCGTAAGTATAATTTATCATCCGTTATCCTATGCTTTGATATATTAATATCTTTGAGTTCCTAAGATACTCATGATGTATCGTGTTAGTATTCACTACCCTAGTGACAAAGACTCACGCACCCTCAACTTTATAGCTTTGTCTTTGACCAACTCTTACATTCTCTATGTACTTTTAACTACTGAATATTTTAGAACATTATTTGCTTCGCAGTTCAGATCGTGTTCTTCAAACACCTTTTCAGGGGTGGATGATGGCCATTGTGAGTATAGATAACTGTTGTTCTTCAACTGAAGATTCTTTGCTGTAGTATTCTTGAAACTGATAGTTATGTTGATATCAATTATTTTTGTTTCAGATCATGGCACTTCTAAGTGGCTTTGCTGGGGTATATACAGAGGTATTCATTAAGCGATTGCATTCTTTCACAATACATGCACTTCTATCTTGAAGGACATAAACCACTGTACTTCTTCCCATGCATGTTTGGTATAATTTATTTTAGAATTCTGTGTATTTGTCTGTCATCTGATTCCATGCTCCTTAGAACACGTAACTAACAACTGATTGCATACCCTAACATAATGATGAAGCAGTCCATCAGCATCACTTGTAGGTTTACTGCCCCATCAATCCATCTCCAGGACCATCCAACTCCCAAAATTAACTGTCTCCTGGAGTATAGGAGAGTTCTTTTACTCATGTGTTCGAGACATTTGTCGGGCTCGCTAACATCCGTCTGGCAATATAAAACATTTTTGGGAGAATCATGTCACATAAAATACCACTGGTTTCCTTCCATATATACTTTTCTGTATGCTGAGTGACCGTGGTGCTCTCTTCGATCCTGAGGCTAGAACAAGATCACTTGATGAGTGGGTAGGGGGAATCCCCAAAGCATGTGACTTTTTTTGTCGGGTTAATCTTTATACTGGTGGGACACAATTATCTGGAAGCACAACAGACAGTTTATTGTTCTATACCATAATAATTACGATGGATAATAGATATGGTGGTGTGATACTGCATTTTTAATTTGTATTCCCTTTTCTATCACGATATACTCTTGGAATTCTGTCAATCTAATCACCTATTCTTGAATATTACTGAACTTTCACCCATTTCAAAAATGCAGGCTATTATAAAAAAACGCCCTTCAAGAAATATTAATGTTCAAAACTTCTGGTTGTACATTTTTGGCATGATTTTCAATTTGGTTGCAATTTGCGTTCAGGATTATGATGCAGTTATGAATAAGTAAGCTTGAAGCATTCTTCAATCTTCACATCTTCCATTCCACATCTGTTATCCTAAATTTAGCATTTATATTGAATTTTATTGACTATATCTTGTACTGCAGAGGTTTCTTCCATGGTTATTCTTTCATCACAGTTTGCATGATTCTAAATCATGCTCTCAGGTAAATATTTTATTATGCCTCTTTTGCAAAATTTCAAGTTTATCCAGTTCCTGAGTTCTTTGTATTTGCAGTGGAATTGCCGTATCGATGGTAATGAAATATGCTGATAACATTGTGAAGGTAAATATTACAACAACTTGCAGAGAATTATTTATGAAAAACAACATCAAGTAGAACCATCTTACCTTAGTGCAATATTACAACAACTTGCAGAGAATTATTTATGAAAAACAACATCAAGTAGAACCATCTTACCTTAGTGCTTCACCAGCTTCAATATGTAAACTGAAAAGCTATCTAGCTGGCTTAAATCTTGAGATATTTCTGTATCGGTGGTAATGAAATATGCCGATAACAATGTTGGATGTGCGAGAACTTCAGGTTCCTGTTGTCGTATGATAGGCCAGTGCCCATTGGTGTAACCTAGTAGATAACTCTTTTTTTCCCCCTCCCTTTCACCAGAAAAGAAGCTGAACTACCAAGAGATAACTGTTTAATAATTCAGGGTAGAATAGACAATACTTAATGTTCTAATTTTTTCACTGTTGTAATGATGTTATTTCTTAACATAAATTTGTATGAAAAATATCACAAGGGAGACAAAGACTTAAAATTGCATATATAACTATAATGTTACTGTTAAATTGTCATGGTATGAAAAATGTAACCATGTGGAAGCATAGAATATTAGAATGGCTACTAAATTGTCATGGTATGAAAAACGTAATCATGTAGAAGAATGGCTATGTAGTCCGTTATTTTTCTTCTCATGCAAATACCAGTATACTAAGTTTGAAGACCTAGTAGTGGGAGCATGTCGACTGTCTTCTTTCTGTTGGCTTAATACTATCCATAGAGATTAAGATATTCAACATAAAATCAATGTTTTTTTTAAACCTCCTTTTTCCTTTAGAACCAGTTAGGTAGTTGAGGAGGGTTTACTAGAGAAATGTTTACTTTTACATTCTTCCTTCAGTTTCTGCTATACATCAAATTTCTCTCTGGTCCATGTACAGGTGTACTCAACTTCTGTGGCAATGCTCCTGACTGCAATTGTTTCAGTGTTCCTATTTGGCTTTCATCTCTCCCTTGCCTTCTTTCTGGGATCTACGTAAGTAGTAGCGACCTTCACGGCTTCAGAAAGAGAACCCTAAGTTTATCTGATGATCTTTGCTTTCTTTTTTTCAGGGTTGTCTCTGTCTCTGTATACCTCCACTCCATTGGGAAGCCACAAAAATGAGTTCCAAGAAACAAGAAAATGCTCCTTGACATAGTCAGCAGATCACTAAAGATTATCATGCCTAAGAATACGAAGTTTCAGTATCAGCTTGGTCTAACCTACAAGTTCACCTCGACACCAAGCGAGAAGTTCAAGAGGAATCAAAAGGTTTGATTAGTTTTTTATTCTTAGAGGAATTCTAACGACTGAGTGGCTTCAACGTGATCAAGTTGCTCGACCTGGAAAGGGGAAAAAAGTTCTTTTGTATCTTGTGTTGTTTTAGCACGTTCAATTCTTTTGCCCTGTATGTGTAAGCAGATTAAATTGTACTGTTTCCTGAAAGCACATTTTCAGATGGAAATCACAGCATGTTAGTTGGGTGTTAATACCGCGAATTCAGTTTATAGATTTCATTTTGGCTGTTTTATTATGCGTGCTGGCAAAGAGAATGAGAAGCACAAATACAATAACAATTGCCTGTGTAACTATTTTTCTACATACAACTTCTTCAGCCAAGCTTGTTGAACCGAAAGCCAATAATACATAAGCAATTCAAGCATTGTACTTATTTTTTTCGCTCGTACCAACGCCAACAGCTTATCTTTGTTTTGTTTTGCTGCATTTAGAGCTTCATGTAGTACAAATGAACTGTAATTAATTTGTTTGGCTGCATTTAGAGCTTCATGCAGTACAAAGTAATCCTCTCCATAAGGTGACAGGTAATGAACATAACATGTCAGGTTTGAATAATAACTAGAGAATTATTCTTCATCTTTTATTTTATAGAACCCCATAGGTATTCCTAATTTTTTCTGCCAAATTATTGGACTAGAAAAAAAATGCTTGAGTGGGTGCTAGTTGTCAAACATTTATAAATATGTAGGCCAACAATCAACAAGGTCCCATGGTCTAGCGGTTAGGACATTGGACTCTGAATCCAGTAACCCGAGTTCAAGTTTTTCTAATGAAAATAACACACTTGTACACATATCAAATGTTACCCCCTACATTTACTTTTTTCGCACAACTATATTAATTCTAGAAATTCTACTGAATGGTGAATTGGATAAACACTTTGCTAATGAGACAAACTTCATCATCAACAACAAAATGATGAATTTTCGATGAAATATTTTCAAGGCAGTTCCTGCCAAATTTGTATTTGTCCCGTCAAAAGTCAGAAAATAATTTCACGCTTTTATCTATCATGGCTCTTGAATCATCCTGAGCAAGTACACCCTATGAACTTTAGTTCACTGAAAAATCTGTACCAACTTTTTCTTTTCTTCTTTTTGCTGAGAATTATACAGGAATTTACTGTGGTTCTGATGAAAATACACTTGTACACATCAAATGTTTCCAGAATTCACTGTCCCTCCAACGACAAGTTATATATTAAAAAAAACGTTTGATATTATATGAGATTATACACGAGACTCCTTTTTCTCCTCTATTCTCTCTTTTGCTTGTAAGGAATTCTGGAAACATCTAGCTGATTTCGTGAAGGGTTGACAGGACTTGTCATCTTCACCCTTTTCGCTCCAATCGATGGCTCCTCATGCCAATCGGAGGTGAAACAGCCAATGACCAACTGCAGAGAGGAATATTTTCCAAGATTAGTGTCAGATACGTAGTGTGCCAATAAAGAAAGACAAATTGAATCACAATATACACAATAAGTTTGATGAGAAATCGAAAGCATATATGCTGAGAAATTAGAACGGAGAAAGACCTGAACGCGTGATGCTGCGATGAGAAGGCCAGCCAGCCGACCTCCAAAGACCTTGCCATTTATTCCAGCTAGCATCACACTGAGCGCAATCTCTCTGCATGCGCCCTTGCTCCTTGGCAATAACCCAGAGAGCAGCAGTATCTCGAAGCGGCCCTGTACATAAACCAGAAGAAGTATCACTAGCAACATTATGTAAGGAGAATATTAAATTCTCGAAGCGGCCCTGTACATAAACCAGAAGAAGTATCACTAGCAACATTATGTAAGGAGAATATTAAATGTATTCTCTGCGCATTATCATGAATAAATAGAGCAGCCAGTTCAAGGTTTGATACAGATGAGTTGCAGGAGGGGGAAAAATTACCTCATAAGATACTGCTACTGAGCTTTCTGCCTGGTGAAGCACCGCCTGGGATACCACACCGTTCGCTGGAAGGACACATAGATGTCCTTTCTCACGAAACAAACCTAAAATGGACGATATGTCCTAAGAAGAAAGAAAAGGGAAAAAATTGAAATAAGTCCTTTGTCACTTACATGTACTTGTGCAACATGCACAGCATGAAAACAATGAAATATGTTTTCAAAGATGTCAATAGAATAATGTCTTAAAAATTGTTCCTGCATTAGAAAGTTCTACAAATTGTTTCCATGATTAAACTTCATGAAATCAAAATGGACAAGGTATGCGTCCATTCAAACCAAAAAGGCTAGTGAATGTAGTGAAGTTCAATTCCTTTAGATGAAGTATCTCAAATTCCAGATAAGTGTATCCTATAAACAGTATTTCAGCTGTCCGCAACCAAGCCCATTCTATAGTAAAAAGCCCAGGTGGTGGTAATGATGATGCTGATGATGAATGCTTTATATTCTTCAAAAATCAGAGGTTGAGATCTAGCAATAAAATACTTTGGAAAACCATATAATGACCCAACCAAATTCAAATGGTTCTGAAAAAAATTGACTATCATATTTGTACAATTGTACCCACTACTTAGTATTCAATATTGAAGTGACATGTTAATCAGCAAATACGAAATGCTTAACTTGTTAATTGACATAAAATTGATGGCTTATCAAAAACAATCATAGGGTACAGGGCTTAAGAGAAGTTATCAAGAGGGTGTATATTCACGAAGATCTGTGGATAATTGAACTGAATTAAATAGTTAATAAATGAGATCTAATTATTTTTCTTGATATATTCCCTTTACTAAACCAAGATTACAATAAAGCTAAAGCTTTAAAACTTCATTTAAAAAAAAACTTTTACTCTTTTGCATGTGCACATGCAGGAATCTAGTTATTAGGTAAGTGTAAGATCAAACATCTCATAGGAATGCTTACATCTCGTGCATTAGGACCATGCTCCTACATGGGTCCCACTAGTTCCCTACCACGAGCATGTCCACTGACGATAATGATGCAAATCAATAGCATTACTTATTTGATAAGTTTATAAGATAAGTTACCAATTATAATACAGATACAAAGAAGCTCAATAATGGGAAAAGATATATATAAGAAAGACACAACAATATGAAAAGCATTATACCTGCCCGGCTTTTATGTCAATAATATAGGGCATAAAAGTATCCTGTTTAGATCCTGCATACAAATTTCATCCTCATGATAAATCAAAGAGAAGAAAAATTAAAATTTCTTTAAGTGACTGATGTTCTAATAAAACAAAAGAAATCTAAGTGAAACAGAACTTTTTGACTATAGGCAGAAGAGCGCAAAAACCATTTAAATGTTTAACAAAAAGGGATTAGTTTTCCGTCCTTATAAAAGTTCTCTAATATCTGCATCATTCCACAGGAGCCTTTCCCCATCAAAATAAGATTGTCTATGAAGCCACAATCAGTCAAGAAAGCTGCATAAATGAATTGACAGAATATTTATACCTTATTGTCAATGTTGCCAAATTTTATAATCTATTCAAGGGATAGGCCTGTGCATGAGGTTTCAACTCATGCAAGAAGGAGGAACCCTCCAAGTTCCTTTACGAAAGAAGGATTAAAAATGATAAACTTTGCTACCATGAATCATATTCCTCTCTGTGAAACTTGCTGAAAATACCAGAAAACTACACTTCCATTAGGCAGTAGTATATAATCTAGATCCAAACTTCAAAATTTCTTTTCAGGTCATGTGCGTATGTCAAACCGCGGGACTAAGTCATGTACTGACCAAAGCTTTTCTAGAAATCATTTGATATCATATAGAATTGGACTATTACAACTCTACTAGTTATGAATGATTGTATCCCAAAAATCCAGTAAGGAAACAAAACAACCTTTCTCACAAAAAAAAGTATCTTAAAACCACAAAACAACAATCAAAAGAAATATACTAAAGAAATGGAAACTAGTAAGTAGTAACTTAAGAATCAAGATGATTACCCAAAGCAGCAATTGCAACAACCGGCGACACAATCCCCACAGTACCAGCACCATCCACAGACCCATCTGGCAATGGTGATGTAGTGCAAGCTGTCACTCCAACTGGCGCATACTTGAAGAGTTCACACTTCCTCGGCCTCCCCAGTTTTTTGAACTCTGACAAACTCACTGGATGCACCCCACCGCTGCCTCCAGTTACAGCAGCAGGGACTGGTGGGACAACATGACAGTAAACACAAGTGCCATCTGGCAAGACACTCATGCTCATTTCGAGACGATGAGGGGGTGAACTCGCCTGTGGAGCATTAAAAGTCTCAGCTCTTGCTTCCATTGGACAAAGAAATAGAGCAGAAAGAAGAAAATTGAGCAGAGATTTTTTTTTCCTTTATGGGAGTGAAGAATTGGATTGAGAGCATTGGCTCTGGTTTTGGGTTTAAAAGGAGAGAGGGAATGATAAATTTGGAAAATGTTTAAGCAAAATATTGCAGTTGAGAAAGAAACATTCAGTGAGGTAGAAGGTTCACGTACTTGATATTTAGAAAGATTCGGAAAAAGAAAAGATTCAAGCACTTGATTTAAAACATTGTACCCACGAAGAAGGTTCATCGACTCAAACATTTGAATTGTGAAGAATGATAAATGTTGAGAAGCTGCATCCATTATTAGCCCCAAGAATCCTGTACACTCAAATAAGTTTTCAGGGTTCAGATTAAAAATATGAAATTATTTTCCATGCTATTATACATGAGGAATCTGCAAAATGGAAAGAACAATTTGTGCTTATTTGATTTTTTAAAAAATTCACTTCATTGTTCATGTTGTATATGACAATGTATATAGTTACGTGTTTGCCAGTGTCCATCACAAGGTCATAAGTTACACACTAGAAAATGATAGTGTCCTGAAACTTCTTTTCACTTTTGTGAAAACTGTTCTTGACTGTTTATTCACATTGCATATAACCCCCTAAAACTACGAAAACTAAAGAATCACTGACAGTTAGTCCAAGAGTGCAAAAGTAGGCAAATATTTTTCATCCTATTTTTGGTTTGCAGAAAATTTATTCTCCTTAATCAGAAAGAAACTTCTAGAGCAATCTCACCAACAACATTTCATACATATCAATGAAGTCCAAAAGAACGTATTTCTGGAGTACTCACCTAGTCAAATAGAAGAAATCTCACACCCTATCGTAAAAGATTATACTTCTCCAGCTTCATGTGTCCATGACTTGGAGTTGGGACATGATTACTATGATGAGGCTTATTGTATTTATCATTTTAATTAAATATATATTTGGCAAATACAAAAAGGATTCATGCGCATACATAGCATACATACTTGGTAGTTGTAGGTGAAAATCACCTTTCTTCTCTTGTTACCCACCATGTTGTCTATGTTGATGTATTGCAAGACTGCAAGCAAAGGGCTTCACTATTAGCTAAGATAATATCAACATGCTCACAGTACAATTTACTATTCACCAAAAAGCATAACAGAACAAGAAAGCAACTCCCAGTTTAGTGTTATCATCTGTTTCTTTTCTTTTTTTTCTTTTCACAATGCAAATCTTGATTAAATATAAATTACAATGCCCAATCTCATTTGAAGTTCAAATTTTTTTATGAGAGATAATATGAAAATTGATACTTTGTACTACTTAAACTTTGGACAGTATCAAATGTCATAAGAATGAACTCGGACATTATGATGTAACAAAAAAGAATTTTTCACACACAAAAAACTCATGTACAGAGAATTTACAAATTGCATTGAAAGATGCCTTTACTATCCCTCCAACAATTGATTATATAAAAGATCTACTACTATATGTGATCATACATGAGCTCTTGTTTCTTTCTTCCTACTTTCTCCTTTACTCCTGAGGCACTCAAGGGAAAATCTAGCTGGTTCCTTGAATGGTTGACCACACTTATTAGCTTCAAAATTTTTGCTCCTATCAATGGCTCCTGATGATAATCAGAGACGAAACTGCCAATGATCACCCGCAGAGAGAAATATTTTCCAAGTTAACATTAGTGCGAGATACACAATGCTGATAGAGAGAGATAAATTGTATGATAATATTCACAGAAATCTGATAAGAAATTGAAAGCATATAATGAGATATTTGAAAGGAGACAAACCTGAACAGAGGAGGCATCAATGAGAAGACTGCTTAGACGACCTCCAAAGACCTTGCCATTGGGTCCTGCTAGCATGATAGTTACCCCAGCAATTTTGCTGCCTGGACCAATGCTCTTTGTCAATAGGCCAGAGATTGACAGTATCTCAAAGCGGCCCTGTATATAAAACAGAAGAAGTTTCCTTTGATATATGTTTGGGATTGAGTGCACATAATATGTGAACTATCATTAAAATATTATGTCAAGGTCTGGAGAAGATCCAATAGTGATGTATACATGAGTAAACCACAAAGGACTCGAGATACACACTTTCCATTTAAAGCTCACAAGCATACATTGAGCATCAAAGTTTAGACTCTAGTAGTCTAGACGATTATATATAAGATAACATCGCCCCAGTACTCAACTTGAAAAAGAATAAGGATTTTTAAGGCAAGAAAATTTGGAAAGGTGTACGTAGTGATACTGCAATTGGATAAAATTTTCGGCGGATCCTGAAAGGAAGCAAGAACTTGCATATATATGTTACAAAAAAATTTACCTCGTGAGTTGTCATTCCACCTAAGCTTGTCACCCGAACAAGTGCATATTGAGAATCTGAGATACAACCCCGTTTGTTGTAAGGACACATACATGTCCCTTCTCACAAAATGAACTGAAAATGGATGATACCTCCTAAGAAGAAGTAAAAGAAAAACAAACTATATATGCTAATAAAAAACTACAAATTGATTCCATGGATTGAACTTCCTGACATTAAAATGGACAATGTGTGTATTCCTTCAAATATGAAGAGTGCAACGTGCGTATTCCTTCAAGTATGAAGAGTGTAGCGCTAATGCCATGGAGTCAATTCCCTAGATGAAATATCCTAAATTCCTGATAGTTATTCTACAAACATTCTTTCAGCTAAGCCTTCCTTATTCTTCAGTTGTTCTCCACAACTCAAGCCCATTTTAGTGGTAAAAAGGCTAGGTTGGTGGCAAGAATGACAGCTGCGATGATGACACTATATATATATATATATATATATAAATAAATATGTTGTAGCGGAGGGGCTTCACAGACACAAAAGATGTCTATACAAGAGTGGACAAAGAGAATAACACCCAAGGATTTAACGTGGTTCGGTCAGTATGACCTACGTCCACGGACGTCAGAGAACTTCACTAATCACAAAAGAGAAGATTACAAAAGAGAAGATCACTCTCTATCTAGAGACTCACACAAAGAAAGGGACTCTTTCTATCTCACTCTCTTCTCTCTATTTTCTTTTCTTTCTCTTCTTTTGCTCACTACCTCGATGCTCAATCTCCATTCACCCTCAGCTCCTTTTATAGCTTTACAAACTAATAAAAAAATTAATAAAATGTTAGGTGACACAGTAAATGGGTTGGTGGGTCAAAGCTTGTAGCAACATAGATTTTTGCTTCTCTTCATTTCAAAAGTCGCGTTTCACAAATCTCCACATTGACTTTGAAAATAAAGATCTTCTCTTTATTATTGCTGTCTCGCCAGAAGCCCCTTACGCCTCGTTTGGTACGTGGGAATGAGGAGGAATGGAATGCAATTCCCACTTTCCATTCCCTCATACCAAACACACCTATATTTTAGATGTTGGAATGACCATTCCCTGGGAATGATCATTCTCACTATTTGTGGGAATGAGCATTCCAAGTGAGAAGATAAGGAATGGTCATTCCCATTCAAGTGAGAATCAAAAACTAGTTAGGTATTTTTCAATTATATCCATATTAATAATAAAGAATGTTTGGGTGAGGCGCTATGCAAGTGGGCAATTTTAGATTGACAATTTAGGCTAGTATATCATTTTGCTATTTCGAAACTTATTATTTTAGTTGGTATTGTTTTATGGATTTTTGCTATTATGAATTGAGTGATTTTGATACTTTATCAAATAAGTTAATTTATATATCTAGAACTATGGATTGTGGATATCATTCTTTTTTTTGGACCTATGAAAGATACGATAATCTTTTTTTTTATTTTTCTTTAATTTTTAAGACTAAGAAATAGCGAGTATTGTTTAAAAAATATAAACGAAACATACACCTGATGGATAACACGAGCATTAGTATAACACATACCTAGATTAATATAACATATGCGTATATAAAATTATTTAGTTATTATCATTAATGTTTATTTTTTATCTTATTAAAAATCTATGTTGTTGTAAGGGCATTATTAGAAAATGAGATTTCATTCTCACTTGTGTACTAGTGATACCAAACATGGGAATGGGAATGAGATTTCCATTCTAGCTTCATTCTACGAACGCACCCAAACAAGAGAATGAGAATGACCATTCCATTCCCACATGCAATCCATTCCATTCCTTTTTCCATTCCATTCCCAAGTCTGTCCATTCTCGCGTACCAAACGAGGCGTTACGGGCTTAACTTCCGTTTTGTCGAACTCCAAGCAATTCGAGACAGTGCTCGAACTTGCGCGAAGGTACGGGCTTCGTCATCATATCTGCTGGATTATCTATAGTACCAATCTTCTCAATCTTGATGACTTTAACTTTTTTAATAAAATGATACCTGATATCTATATGTTTGGTTCTTTCATGATACATCTAATGTTTCGTCAAATGTATAGTACTCTGGCTGTCACAAAATACCGTAGTACACCTTGGTGTAAGCCGAGATCTTCAGCCAAACCTCTCAACCAAATAGCTTCTTTCACTGTTTTTATCGCTGTCATATACTCTGCCTCTGTGGTAGACAAAACAACTGTCAATTGTAGAGTCACCTTTCAACTAATGACACTACCTGAAAGAGTGAATATATAACCTGTCAATGATCGTCTCTTATCTAAATCGCCCGCATAATCTGAATCAGAATAGCCAAGTATTCTGCAATCTGAGTTTGTGTTCCTGTTAAAATTCAAACCAATATTAGCAGATCCTTTCAAATATCTACGTATCCATTTCACAGTCTGCCAATGGACCTTTCCAGACTTATTCATGTACCGACTCACAACACTGACTGCTTGTGAAATATCTGGACGGGTGCAAACCATCTCATACATAATGCTTCTAACTGCACTCGTATAAGGAACACAAGACATGTACAGCTCTTCCTTCTCAGTCTGAGGTGATAAATCTGCTGAAAGACGAAAATGAGCAGCAAACGGAGTCTTCACAGGCTTGGCATCAAGCATGCCAAATCTCCAACACCTTCTTGATGTATTTCTCCTGAGATAAGAATAAACTTTCTTCTTGTCTGTCCCTGTGGATCTCCATCCCCAAAATCTTCTTTGCGGCTCCCAAGTCCTTCATCTCAAACTCATGTTTGAGTTGAGATTTCAACTTATTGATTTCTGACATATCTTTAGCTGCAATCAACATGTCATCAACATAAAAAATAGATATACAAAAGAACAATCATTGAGCTTTTTATGATAAACACAACTATCATATTTACTCCTAGAGTAACCATGCTCAATCATTAAAGTATCAAATCTCAAATATCACTGTCTCGGAGGCTGTTTCAATCCATAAAGAGATTTTTTCAACCTACACGCATGGTCTTCTTTACCTTCAACAATGAACCTCTCTGGCTGATGCATAAAGATCTGCTCCTCAAGCTCGCCATGTAGAAAAGCTATCTTCACATCAAGTTGCTCAAGCTCCAAATTAAAATAAGCAACCATGACAAGCAACACGCGAATTAAGGTGTGTTTTACAACTGAAGAAAATACCTCATTGAAATTCACACCTTCGGTATGACTATAGCCTTTAGCTACCAATATACCTTGTACCTTACAGCATCTGTATCCGGAGCTCCTTCTTTCTTTTTGAAGACCCATTTACAGCCAACAATCTTTTGTCCCCTTGATGGTTTCACTAGCTCTCATGTCTGGTTCTTGTGAAGAGACCCATCTCTTCAGTCATCGTAACAATTCATTGAATTCAATTTGCAGTCTCATTGTCACTAATAGCCTCCTTATATGTAGAAGGCTCTGGAACCTCAATCAATTCTGCTACACTCAAAGCGTAAGCAAGCATGTCTGTATAGCGTTGAGGAGGTCGGATCTGTCTTTTTGCTCTCTGGTGGTAATATTATACTGTTGTTCTTGTAGTGTATCAGCATCTGAAGTTGAACCTTCCGCAGTATCAACTAGTTCAAAATGATTGCTCTCAAGCACTCTCTTTGAACCTGAGCTATCTAGCTCTACCTGCTTGCTAAACTCCTTTTTATTACCTGTAGTGTTAATAACAAACTCCTTTCTCGGGTGAAGCATGAATTTTTTATCAAAAGTAGCATCCCTACTAATAATAAATATATGTGACTTGGGATCAGAACACCACAATCTATATCCCTTCACCCCAGTCGCATATCCTAGAAAGATAGCTTTCTTTGCTCTAGGTTCAAGCTTACCATCATTAACATGAAAATAAACAGAACAACCAAATACTCTTAAATGAAAGTAATTAGTAGGGGAACCAGACCATACCTCTTGAAATCAATTGCTGTAGAAGGAGATCTGTTTACCAAATAACAAACTGTATTAACTGCCTCGGCCCAAAAATCTTTTGTCAAACCGACATTAGAGAGCATGCACCGAGCTCTCTCTAAAAGTGTTTTGTTCATCATTTCTGCAACTCTATTTTGATGTGGTGTATGCCAAACTGTACGATGACGCACAATACCTTCATTTTTGCAGAACCGGTCAAAAACTGTAGAACAAAACTCTATCTCATTGTCGGTTCTGAGGTGTTTCACTTTCTTTCCTATTTGCTTCTCAATTATAACCTTTCATTGCTTGAAGGTTGCAAACACATCACTCTTATGCTTCAAAGGATACACCCAAACTTTTCTAGAATAATCATCAATTAATATTAGCAGAAAACGAGCTCCACCTTTCGATGGAACCTGAGAGGGACCCCAAATATCTGAATGGATATAATCTAAAGTACCATTGGTTCTGTGGACACCGGTACTAAAGGATACTCTATGGTGTTTACCAAAAACACAATGCTCATAAAAGTCTAATTTGCTGGTTTTCTGACCATAAAGCATACCTTGTTTTCTCAATATATATATATCCAGTCCTCTCACTCATATGCCCTAACCGCATATGTCACAAATGTGTAGTGTCTGAATCTGAATCCTCTGAGGATGACACTGCTGCATCACCTGTCACTGTACTGCCTTCAAGGATATAGAGGGTATTTACCTTTTTTTTCCTTTCATCACAACAAGAGAGCTTTTACTTACTCTCAAAACTCCACCTTCAGCCGAAAACTTAAAACCATTTGAGTCAAGGGTGAAGAGAGCTTTTACTTACTCTCAAAACTCCACCTTCAGCCGAAAACTTAAAACCATTTGAGTCAAGGGTGCCTAAAGAAAAACTTAAAACCATTTGAGTCAAGGGTGCCTAAAGAAATGAGGTTCTTCTTTAACTCTGGAATATGACGAATATTGCTCAATGTTCTAACAATACCATCATGGGTTCTAATCTTAATTGATCCGATACCAACAGTCTTGTAAGGTATGTTATTTCCCAACAAGACATTCCCACCAATGATAGATTGATATGTGACAAACCAATTCTTATGCGGACACATATGATAGGAACAACCCGAATCAAAAACCCACTCATCTTGTGAATGAGTATTAACACTAACTGAAAGAACTTCATATGAACTAGAAGACTCTTCAGTTACAGTGACAACTGAAGGTTTTACATCCTCAAACTTCGACTGTGAATTATCCTTTGCTTTAAGCGCTGGACAATTAGGTTTTATATGCCCATATTTATGATAGTAATAACATTTAACATTTTTTCTTGACCTGGACTTTGATCTAGATATGTTTCTAAATTTTCCTCTACCACCAACACCCTTTTCAGGACGACCACGAGCGAACAAGCCTTTAGTTTGATATTCTCCTCCTATGACAGACACTTTCTGCCTTAACTCTTTTGAATGTAAAACCGATTTGACATCCTCCAAAGAAAGTGTATCTCTACCATATAACATGCTATTAACAAAATTCTCATAAGGAGGTAATGAACATAACAAGATCAGGGCTTGATCTTCTTCGTCGATTTTAACATCAATGTTCTTTAAATCCATAAGAATAGTGTTAAGTTCATCTAAGTGGTCTTTTATTCGCATACCTTCCTTCATGCTAATGGTGACGAGGCGTTGCTTCAAGTAAAGCTTGTTCGTCAGAGATTTCGTCATGTACAAGCTCTCTAACTTGAGCCACAAGCCGACGACGGTATCTTCATCGGCAACCTCCCGTAAGACCTCATCGGTCAAACAGAGCTGTATGACACTATACGCCTTCATCTCTAGCTCTTCTTTCTCATCATCGGGTATAGATTCCGACAACTTATACTTTCCGGACAAGACCTTAAACAATCATTGTACTACGAGAGCCCTCATTTTTACTCTCCACAAACTAAAACTGTTTTTCCCAACGAATTTCTCCACTTTGTATTTTACAGAAGACATCTTGAAACTCACTAGAACAGTAACTGTAATTATGAACGGTAACTAAACAGTAACAGTACGTATGAATAGTAATAGTACTTTTAAATAGTACCGTACACGTGAATAGTACTCACCATCTTTAAAGAGTAAATGATAATCTAACTTATTTTCTAATGTAAATGATCCACTTTTAGTGACAGCCACAGAGCATACGATAAGCAGATACATGTACTCTAAGTCAGGCTCTGATACTAGTTTATATCTAGCTCCACCTGCTTGCTAAACTCCACAATTTGTGAAACGTGACTTTTGAAATGAAGAGAAGCAAAAATCTATTTTGCTACAAGCCTTGACCCACCAACCCATTTACTGTGTCACCTAACATTTTATTAATTTTTTTATTAATTTGTAAAGCTATAAAAGGAGCTGAGGGTGAATAGAGATTGAGCATCGAGACCAAGGTTTTAAATATCGGTTATCGGGAATGTATCGGACGACCAAAATTCTTATCGGATAGCGAAAATCGGGGATATATCGGGGATAAGTAGTATTTATCGGAGTGATATACTAGATGGTGTATATATATAATATAATAACTAAAAAATATAATCTAACCATGCTTAATGAAATATAAACATACCAAAATGTAAATCATCATGTTTATAATCACTAACCAATTGTAGAAAGCAAAACTTGCATCTTGACCGCACGATGAAACCATTCGATTGCATAGCCTTACTTATCGGCCGATAATCCCGATAAAAAAACCTTACTTATCGGCCGATAAGTACCGATAACACCGATAACTCCCCGATAACTTGCCAAAAACGATAACCGATTAAAAATCCAAGTTATCCTATCGGAGAGCTCCCAAATCCGATAACTCGGCCGATAATATCGGTTATCGGCCGATATTTAAAACAGTGATCGAGACAGTGAGCAAAAGAAGAGAGAATATTTAGAGAGAGGAGAGTGAGATAGAAAGAATGTCTTTTTCTTTGTGAGAGTCTCTGGTTAGAGAGTGATCTCCCCTTTTGTAATATTCTCTTTTGATGATTAGTGAAGTTCTCTGTTGTTCTCGCCCGTGGACGTAGGTCATACTGACCGAATCACGTTAAATCCTTGTGTGTTATTCTCTTTGTCCACTCTTGTATAGACATCTTCTGTGTCTATGAAGCCTCTCCGCTGCACTAATATATATATACTAGTCGTGAACACCGTGCAAAGCACGGCATATCATTTTTTCCCCGCTACAGTAATCTCGATTTTTAAATGCTGCAATAATATTTTTAGATTTTTTTAATTGCTACAGTCCCCACCTCTGCTACAGGTTTTTTAAATATTACAGTATTCCCGTGTGCTACAGTGATGTTTTTTAAAAAATGCCACAGTATCCAATTCATATTTGCTGCAGTAATAATGCTACAGTAAATGTTACTATAGCATAAATAGTGAATCTTGGGTTCTTCCATTTGTATAGAGTATATATATATATATATATATATAATAATATATATAGAGAGAGAGAGGAGAGAAGAGAGAGAAATGGGTATGCTTGTACCCGAAGCACATAATTTTGTGGCTTGGTGTAAGGTGTCCTCATTCTCATCCACCTCATTTAATTGGGGGGAGCCCATTCACCCATGTGAATGTGCTTCCCGCATTTGAATGAGTGGAGGATAATATTCGCCCTCACTACCAGGCACAATTTTGTGCTTGGTAGCCAAGCATATCCATATATCGCTCTATATACTATATATATATATATATATATATATATATATATATATATATATATATACTATATATGAAAATCTGTATAGTGATCTCACCAAATTAGAGGGTTCTGAAGAAAAGAGGTTATCTATTCCACTATTATTCAAAATCGAAGCAACATGTTAATCAGCAAATAGCAAATATCAGACTTTCTAATTGACATAAAACTGATGACTTAATGAAAACAGCCATAGGGGATCAGGAATAAGAACATGTCATTGAAAATTGAGTTACCGATAAATGAAATCTAATAATCTTTCTAATACATGCCTAGGATACAAGTATCTAGTTTGTTCTATTGTGAAGATCCTACCATCCGTATGTTCACTCACTATAATGACGCCAATCAATAGCATTAATAAATCCAATAAGTTCATAAGATAAAATTACCAGTTGCAAAACACATAAAGAAACTGGAAAAAAAACACAAAGAAAGAATAGAGGCACAGGAATTTGAAAAGCATTTATACCTGCCCAGCTTTAACATCAATAGTATAGGGTGTAAAAGCATTCTCTTCAGATCCTGCAAAAATTTCATACTCATTACAAATCCAATAGAACAAAGAAATTAAATCTTCTACTGACTGCGTTCTATAGAAAATGAAATTCATCAGAACAAAAATCTTAGAATATGAATAAAAAAGTGGACAAAACATTGAATTATTTTCATCCGTATAAAACACACTATTATTGAATAGATTCACAGGGAACAAATACATCACCTGAGCTCTTTTGCAACAAAATAAGGTCACTACGGACCAAAAGTTCAAAAACCCAGTTGAGAAAGCTTTTATATTGATCATATAACTGTTAGATCTACATCATAAAACTTGAGATCTAAAACCATATAGCCATGATTAATTCAAAGAGATTAACAAAATCAAAAGAGAGCGGAAGCTTATACCTGAATCCATAGATTGATCTTTATTTTGGGTTTTGGATCTTCTAACATTAGGGTTTTCTCTTTTAGCCGAATTTCTCTAGCTAGATGGGGGTGTAGAGAATTAGAGAATGTAACCCTAGGTTAGGGACCATAACCCCTTATTTATAGATGTTGTACTTTTGTAATTTAGCCCCTCAATAAATTACAATTACAACCTGGTATCTGCACATATAACCCCATGACTTATTTAAATACCAAATTAACCCAACTTAATTGATCACTTTAATGGGTTATCCTGAAAGATAGCAATACACATTGATTAATCATATGTGCCCACAAATAGATTTATTAGATTAAATCCAACAATCTCCCACTTGGGCACCATATGATTCCTTAAACTGTGTATAACCTTATGAGCTCAAAAATTGCTATCACTGAAATGGTATTTCCGAACAATCTCGTCCATTGACTATATCAATATAGGATCAAAGCGGCCTTCGTCACATTTATCGTGACTCGACCCATCAATGGTCACATATACCAATACAATCAAACGACATAGATCAATCATGGATGTGCAGCATGAAAATTACATGTAATGTGATCAGTACATGTCTATTTTCAACTGGTCCTCCTTTAGTGAGGTCAAAACCAAACATAATGTAACAGAGTGTCTTAACTGAAAACTTTATTCTGATCAGACAATACAAACAAACATAAAGCACCACAAATACAAACTCCCACTAAAACATAATATCCTCAAATAATACCACACCCATATGAGCAGTATGCTCATGAAAGACCTTAGGTGGCAATCCCTTAGTAAGAGGATCAGCTATCATGGAGTTTGTCCCAATGTGCTCTATGGATATCTGTCCACTCTGTACCCTTTCTTTCACAACCAGGAACTTAATGTCAATATGTTTTGACTTAGTTGAGCTCCTGTTGTTATTGGAATACATTACTGCAGATTTATTGTCACAATATAACCTTAGTGGTCTTTCAACATTTTCCAAAATGCGCAGTCCCGTGACAAAATTTCGCAGCCATATTCCCTGATTGGATGCCTCATAGCAAGCTACAAATTCTGCTGCCATAGTGGAGGAAGCTACTAGTGTTTGTTTGACACTTTTCCATGATATAGCTCCTCCTGCTAACATATAAATGTAGCCTGATGTAGACTTCCTGCTATCTTGGCATCCAGCAAAATCAGAGTCCGAATACCCAATGACCTCTAATTTCTCTGATTTTCTGTATGTGAGCATGTAATCTTTTGTTTTCTGAAGATACCTCATAACCCTTTTGACTGCTATCCAATGATCCATACCAGGGTTGCTTAAGTATCTGCCTAACATCCCAACAATGTACGCAATATCCGGACGCGTACATACCTGAGCATACATTAGACTTCCTACAGCCGAAGCATAAGGAATCTTCTGCATTTCCTGAATTTCAAGGTTACCTTTAGGGCACTGATTGAGACTAAACTTGTCTCCTTTAGCAACAGGGGTGTCACCTGGTCTGCAATCTTGCATGCCAAACCTTTTAAGTACCTTATCGATATAGCTCTTTTGTGATAATCCAAGAATACCCCGAGAGCGATCTCGATGTATCTGGATCCCTAATATAAAAGAGGCGTCCCCAAGATCTTTCATCTCAAAATTCTTTGATAGAAATCTCTTGGTTTCGTGCAACATGCCTATATCATTAGTGGCAAGCAAGATGTCATCCACATACAGAACCAGAAAAATATACTTACTCCCACTGAACTTGTGATATACACAGTCATCAACAATGTTCATCTCAAAACCGAACGAGATAACTATTTGTTGAAACTTATGATACCATTGACGAGGAGCTTGCTTGAGTCCATAGATGGATTTCCTTAATTTGCAAACCATATTCTTTGGGTCTCCTGACACAAAGTTTTCTGGTTGCACCATATAAATCATCTCATCAATGTCTCCATTGAGAAATGCAGTCTTAACATCCATCTGATGTAACTCAAGATCATAATGAGCAACAAGTGCCATGATTATTCTGAAAGAGTCTTTCGATGAAACCGGAGAGAAAGTCTCTGTATAATCAATGCCTTCCTTTTGAGTATAGCCTTTAGCCACAAGACGCGCCTTATACCTCTCCACATTACCGTTTGCATCCCGCTTGGTTTTAAAAATCCATTTACAACCAATTGGTTTTGCACCTTCTGGCAATGGGACAAGTTCCCAAACCTTATTGTCTTGCATAGACTTATACTCTTCATTCATGGCATCAATCCACTGTTGAGAGTTAGAACTTTTCATGGCCTGAGAGAAGTTGATTGGATCATCTTCTAACATTCCACTACTTTCCTCATGTTCTTGGAGAAATACAATATAATCATCCGGAATAGCATTTCTCCTTTCTCTCGTGGATCTCCTTAATGGCACTGGTTCTTGAGGTTGTTGAGTTTGTTCTTCTGGAACAGGGAGTTGTTCAACATTATCATCTTGAGGTTCCGGATTTACTTCTTGAGCAACAACAGGTATAGGAACCTGAATATTGTCAAAAGTAACTGTATGGATTGGATCTGAAGCCAATTCCTCCTCAAAACTAATGTCTCTAACCTTATTTCTCCCCCCAAACTCAACATCCTCAAAGAATGTTGCTGTTCCCGTCTCAAAAATATTCCTTATAGTGGGATCATAAAACTTATAGCCCCTAGAGCGATCAGGGTACCCAATAAAGTAGCTGCTAACTGTTTTGGAGTCCAATTTCTTTTCATTTGGCCTATAAGGCCTTGCCTCAGCTGGACATCCCCAAATATGTAAATGCTTTAAACTGGGCTTTCGACCAGTCCAAAGCTCATAAGGTGTTTTAGCAACTGCTTTACTTGGTACTCTATTCAGAATGTAAGCTGCTGTCTTAAGTGCTTCTCCCCAGAGTGACTCTGGTAAAGAAGAATGAGCAATCATACTTCTTACCATATCCTTAAGAGTCCTGTTTCGTCTTTCAGCTACACCATTCATGCTAGGTGAACCCGGCATAGTGTACTGTGGGACGATACCGCATTCCTCTAGGTATCTAGCAAATGGTCCTGGACGTTGTTCACCTGAACCATCATATCTACCGTAGTACTCACCACCACGATCAGATCTGACGGTTTTAATTCTTCTGTTGAGTTGATTCTCAACTTCAGCTTTATAGGCTTTGAACATGTCCAGAGACTCAGATTTTTCATGAATAAGATATAGGTGCCCATAACGTGAGTAATCGTCTATGAATGATATAAAATATTGTTGACCATTCCAGGATTCCGTAGGGAATGGCCCACAAATATCCGTATGTATCAATTCTAAGACATCCGAAGATCTGTTGGCACCTAATCTCTTCACTTTGGTCTGTTTTCCCTTGATACATTCAACACATACGTCGAAGTCCGAAAAATCAAGGGAATCCAAAATGCCATCAGACACAAGACGCTCAACTCTACCTTTTGAGATATGACCTAAGCGCTTATGCCATAATGTCGCCGAATTTTCCTTATTTAATTTACGCTTAGTACCACGTGATTCCACATGCAAGGATTCATTGTAAGAAGCAATTGTATCAAGCAAATATAGGTTGTCATAAATACTCAAGTAACCGGTTCCCACAACATTTGAATTAAAAGATAAACTGAATTGACTGTTTCCAAATGAACAAGAATAACCTGATTTGTCCAATACAGAAACAGAAACCAAATTCCGTCTAAAAGACGGTACTACAAAAGTATCTTTTAAATCCAAATAATAACCAGTTCCTAACAACAACCTAAAGTGCCCAATTGCTTCCACATCTACCGATTGTCCGTCGCCCACAAAGATGTGTCTTTCAACATCACTTGGCTTTCGGTAGCTCAGGCAACCCTGCATAGAAACACTTATGTGAGTAGTAGCACCAGAGTCTAACCACCAAGTGTTTCTAGGTACTGAAGCTAAATTAACCTCAGAACAGACCAAAGCAAGGAACGTACCCTTATTATCACGCCAGGCGTGATATTTTGTACAGTCCTTCTTTACATGTCCAGGCTTCTTACAGAAGAAACAACCCTGATTATCCTTATGTTGTTTCTTCTCAACTGGACCCTTAGCAGCTTCCTTATCATTCTTCCTTTTCTTGCCCTTATCCTTAGAGGCATAGGCCAAATGAGCACTTTCTGTCTTATCTTGCTTCAACCTGTCTTCTTCTTGCACACAGTATGAAATGAGCTCATTTAGAGTCCATTTCTCCTTTTGACAGTTATAACTGACCTTAAATTGGTTAAACTGTGCAGGAAGAGACAACAAAACCAGATGCACTAATAACTCGTCACAAAGATCGAGTTTAAGTGCCTTAAGCTTTGAAGCAATATGAGACATTTCCATAATGTACTCCCTGATATTTCCTTTGCCCTTATACTTCATTGAAATCAAGCGAGCTAAAAGCGTGCTTGTTTCTACCTTATCGTTTTTCGCAAAACGCTTCTCAATTTCGGCAAGGAAATCTTTAGCCTTAGTAATCCCTTCGGATTCTATGCCCCTGAAGGCTTCCGGAACGCCGCGCTTAATGATCATAAGACTCATGCGATTTGAACGCTCCCACTTCTCATGCTCCTTCTTTGCATCAGGAGTGCTATCCGCATTGAGAGGTTGGGGTTGTTCAGTTCTTAATGCATAGTCAAGATCCATGCAGCCAAGAACAATTAATATGTTCTCTTTCCAAACCTTGAAGTTTGTCCCATTTAGCATGGGAATTGAGTTGATGTTAGCAGAAATTGTTGCAGCAGATGCATTAGCTGAAATAAAACAAAAATGCTCACATCAATAACCATAATCAATAAAATTCAAATAATGACAATCCCCATCCAAGATACCGGCACAACATTAATATCAAGTCTTTGGACAGTAATATTAACTTGTAAGTGATACCTTGTTGCAATGATCAAACATTGACAATAACTCATGTCAAATAATGAAACTATCTTTGGATCGATTCATTATTCACATGTAAACCTTATAATTGTCACACGCTTATCATCGCAGATGTGTATACAGTCTAAATAAATATTAACCTTCCTTTGGGCCGATTAAATATTTACACGAAAGCATACACACAAACATCTCACATTCCTCATGAACAATCTACACAAGAGAGGTTACTTTGGCAACTTCTTGTTTCAATTAATCAATTGGAGTGAGAGACAACCTTAATACCTTAGTGTCATAATATTTGAATTAAATAATTGATTAAAAACCAAATTAGATTTAAATTAAAAAGTTTTAATTTAAATCAACTGAATTTCCAAAAACTTAATTGGGGTCTCACAGCTTAATTAGGGCCCATAACTTAATTGAATAAATTAAGTATACCAAAGTGGACCCATGAAAAGCCGAGGCTTAACCATAATGAACACGAAGTTCCCTTAACTTCGAACGCGAGGTTCGACTGTATTGAGTACGAGACTCACTTAAGCACGAACGCGAGGTTCGTCTGAAAATGAACGAACGCGAGGTTCGTTTGATAAAAGAACGCGAGGTTCAACTTGGGAACGAACGCGAGGTTCGTTAAAAAAAATGAACGCGAGGTTCAACTGAAGTACGAACGCGAGGTTCGTCTGAAGTACGAACGCGAGGTTCGTCTGAAGAACGAACGCGAGGTTCGTTAAAAATTGAGCTTGACGCTCACCTGAGTTGAACGCGAGGTTCACCTTGGGAACGAACGCGAGATTCGTTGAATTGAGCTTGACGCTCACCTGAGTTGAACGCGAGGTTCACCTTAGAACGAACGCGAGGTTCGTTGAAATTGAGCTTGACGCTCACCTGAGTTGAACGCGAGGTTCACCTTAGAACGAACGCGAGGTTCGTTGAGCGCGAAGCTCGGTTAAAATTGAACGAACGCGAGGTTCGTTTGAGGTAACCACCTCCTTAATTTTCGCCATGAACCCTTAGGGTTTCAAACTGAAACCGCCGCCGACAAACCCAAAAAACCTTTGATTTTTCAGTTACTGTTCATCCGAAAAAACTTTTCGTTACTGTTCATCCGAACAAAAATTTTTACTGTTCATCCGAACCCAAAAAAATTGAATCTTTAACCAGAGATTTAAGATCAAAAACCCAATAGAACTTAAATCCCTAAGAATTAATCAAGGTGGCTCTGATACCACTTGTTAGATCTACATCATAAAACTTGAGATCTAAAACCATATAGCCATGATTAATTCAAAGAGATTAACAAAATCAAAAGAGAGCGGAAGCTTATACCTGAATCCATAGATTGATCTTTATTTTGGGTTTTGGATCTTCTAACCTTAGGGTTTTCTCTTTTAGCCGAATTTCTTCTTAGATGGGGGTGAAGAGAATTAGAGAATGTAACCCTAGGTTAGGGACCATAACCCCTTATTTATAGATGTTGTACTTTTGTAATTTAGCCCCTCAATAAATTACAATTACAACCTGGTATCTGCACATATAACCCCATGACTTATTTAAATACCAAATTAACCCAACTTAATTGATCACTTTAATGGGTTATCCTGAAAGATAGCAATACACATTGATTAATCATATGTGCCCACAAATAGATTTATTAGATTAAATCCAACAATAACAGTAAACATAATAAAATTTGCCATCATGACCGAGAATCTAGCCAAAGAACCAAATTAAGCGAAAAACTAAAAACCTAGTTAAACTTCTTTTTTCCAGTTCATGTATGAACGTAAAACCATGGGATCAAATAATAGTTGATCAAAACATTCTAATAATTTTAGAAATCATAATATTATACTCAACTTGCCAAAATTTTTAAAAAATCAACTAGTTATGAATGGATTTATGCCGATAATCCGGTAAGAAACAAAAACAACCCTTCTCAAAAAAAAAAAAAAAAAAAAAACCAACCCTCCAAAAAAAAAAAAAAAAAAAAAAAACCAGAAAACCACAAAACTACCAATCAAAAATAAATAACCAAACGAAACATAAACTAGTAACATAAGAATCAAGATGATTACCCAAAGCAGAAATAGCAGCCAGCAGCGACATGATCCCCACTGGAACATCACTATTTACGAATCCATTATCCTTCAGTCCCCTCATTGCCAACGGTGATGGCACCCTTGTAGTCGAACTAGTGCCAGCTATCACTCCACCAGGCACATACTCAAACAATCCAGACTTCCTCGGCCTCCCCCGTTTCTTCATCAGTGACACCCTCAAAGGAGGGTCCTGAGCACTGCCTCCGGTGCCATCTGGCAAAACATTCATGCTTATTTGAAGGCGATGAGCGGGTGACCTTAACGGTGGGTTTTGGGACCCACTGGCATTAGAAGTCTCGGCTCTTGCTTCCATTGGAACAAAGAAATGGAGCAGAAACCAGAAAATTGAGCAAATATTTTTTTTTCTCTCTCCTTTTCTTATTGGAGTGAAGAAGTGAATTAAAACCATTGCGTCTGGATTTGGGTTTAAAAAGAAGGGAGGGAATGCTAAATTTGGAAAATATTTAAAACAAAATATTGCAATTGAGGAAGAAAAAGTCAGTGAGGAAAAGTTCATGTATATGAGATTTAGTAATGTTCAGAAACAGAAAAGATTCATGAAATTGATTTAAAAACATTGTATGCAAGGACAGGGTTCATCGACTCAAAAACGGCGCAAAATGATAAACGTTGAGAGATATATGCATCAACCCCTAGCATCTTGTACATTGTTTTCCCGCTACTAAAACTCTTGCACAAGATGCCCCTTTGTAAAATTACGTGGTTTTTGTAATAGGAGTTTCTTTCACAATGCAATAATTCAGATTGGATCCGATGATTGGCAATGGACTTTGATTCTTTTTTTCTTTTAATTGTATTCTACATCCAATAATTTTTTGGTTCAACATTAAAAAAAAGGAATTATTTCTCATCTCGTAATACTATTTGCATAATAGAAAGAACAGTTTTTTGAGCATCAATATTTTCAATTCATTATTTATGTTGCATCTAACTATTTAGATATTTTTCTATTTTCTAATGTCCATCATAAAGTCATCATTTTCACGGTAGAAAATGATAGTGTCTTGATACTTGTTTACACTTTTTGCGGAAACTGTTCTTCTTGTCTGTTTAATTAGATTACATACAACCCCATAAAACTACTAAATTGACAAAAAAAATTAATCCATTTTCCAATTCGCAGATAACTTATTTACTTTAACTAGAAAGAACTTTTTAAAGCAATCTAACTAACATCATTCCATAGGTACCAAGGAAGTCTAAAACAATCTATTTCTGGAGCCCTCACGTAGATATTGGCAATAGCTAAATAAGAAATATCCCAGAACATATCACAAATTGATTAGTATTTTCCACGTGCATGTGTCCGTCACTTGAGACATGATTACTGCAAAGGGATACGTTGCATTTGCCATTTCAATTCAACACACATTTGACAAATACAAGAAGAGCTTATGCTCATACACACCTGGTACCTGTCGGTGATGTGTAAGCTTACTTCTCGTGTAGTTACCCACCCTATTTTCTATGATGATGCCTTCACCTTATACGACTGCAAACCAGGGGTTTCATGATAGTATATGCATGCTCACGAGATAAGTTTCACCAAAAAAGAAGGCAGGTCCCAGTTAGTGTTATATTCTTATATCTCTTTGGGGAACATAACAACTCTAGATTAACAATAAATTTTAATAGAGTTAATTTTAAATGAGAGAGAGTGTTAAAACTAAACTGGACATAAATTCCACAGCATAGATATTCCTTTAACGAAATTAATAAAATGAATAATTTGGTGATAAAGTCTACATCATAGATGTTCCTTTAACGAAATTAATTAAATTGGTCATGCAAGGTTGCAACTTGCAACGAATTGTTCAAAATCAGCGCATATCTGAACAAACTAGAAAGGAAGTAAATCAAACCATCAGATATTAGCTCAAAGAAGAGGAAGAAAAAGACTTAAGAGTGATCATAGAGTGCCTTAGAGTGAGTTATCAACAGATTATCAAAAATCGCATCTTGAATAAACAGAAACCCCTTCTAAGTATTATAGAAGAAACATTAGCAACTGGAACTAATCTTATATAAAACATTGGTTATCATCTTTCACGTTTACTTTCTCATTGGGATAGAACACGTTTGTGTAAGCAATGAGTTTTTGCACAAGATGACTGAAAAATTTCATGTGCTATGTGTAATAAATTTCTTTCCCAATTTCATGGATCCTGTGAGTGTTAATAGACTTCGGTTTCTTATCCCTGTGTTTTTGTACAAAAGGAATTTGCAAAATGGATTGAACACTTTTGTGCTTATTTAAGTTAAAAAGAAACTTTTCCATTAAAAAAAGTTAAAAGAAACTTTCCTATTCATTGTTCATGTTGTATCTTATGATTTACTAAGTTAGATATTTATCCGCGTCCAACATAAAGTCATAATACACACTAGAAAATGTCAGCATCCTGACACTTCTTTACCATTTTGTGAAACAACTCTTGTCTGTTTTAGTCACTTATGCAACCCCCTAAAACTTCTAAGGGCCTGTTTGTTTGCACGAAAGTAGCAAAGAAGTAATTGAAGTAGAGGAAGTTTCTCCTACTTCAAGCAAAAAATTATGTTTGTTTCTCCGAAAAGACTACTTCAGCTACTTCCATAAATGCAAATATGGCATCTAGGTGGCACTCCTACTTCCTAGATTTTTTCCCGCCCTTGAAAGCTCAGAAGTAGAGGAGAAGTGGATAAAAAGTAGGGTCCACTTAAATTAGAGATTTACCAAGGGCAAATGATTTTAAATAATATATCCAATTTCTATCCAAACAAACAAACAAATAAAAGAAGATGATGAAGTACTATTTCCGCTACTTCTAAAAATATATGAAACAAATAAAATAAGTACTACTTCTGCTACTTTCTACTTCATAATTGAGGAAGTTACATCTTTGATCCACTTCTTACTTCTAATAGTTACGTCCATCCAAACGGGCCCTAAAACTAAAAAATTACTGACAGTTCGTCCGAGACTGTAAAAGTTGACAAAATTTTAAATCTCATTAAGGTTTGCAGTGAAACTTCTTTCTTTAACCAGAAAGAAACTTCTAGAGCAATCTCACTAACATGATTGCGTACATGAAGTCCAAAGAACCTATTTCTAGAGCACTCACCTAGACCTCGTCAAATAGACAAATAGAAAAAGAATCCTTCACCATATCTCAAAAAGATTTATTCTTTCCAAGTTCATGACATGAGAGTAGAGACGTGAATACTGTGAAGCGATTCATTGTATTTACTCAATTCAATATACATTTGACAAATACAAAAAGGGGTTGCGCATACATACCTGGCATATGCTGGCGATGAATAACCTTCCTTCTCTTGTAGTTAGCCACCATACCGTCTGATGCATTATATAACTGCGAAAAAGGGAATTCACCGTTAGCTAAGATAGTATCAACATGCTCACAAGACAATTTACTCTTCACCAGAAAGCGTAATAGAACAAGATAGCAAGTCCCAAT